GCTGGTGCACGCGGAATCGCTTTTCTTTGGGCGTCGCGGTCTCGCTGATCTCTTGTGGGCTGGATTTGTTGTGCTCCCAAGTGTGTGTTTGGGGCGGATTCAATGTGCCTGCGCTCTTGGCCTAGCGCAAAGGTGGAAGCAAACGACTGGTTGTGGGTATTTTCCTTTCAGTTACTGTGTTTGTGAGCTTTCGGCGTAAGTAGCCGCATCATCTCTCTGAGGATCTGGTAAATTGTGGTGTAGGGAGGAGGATGGCACCTAAGACAACTTGAGAGTGGATGCCAACTTTGCCATCAGAGGCACTCTGCAGTGATGCTACAGCCATGGCTCGTTAAAATGTCACACGTGCGCATGCACACAGACCACAGAAATAGCTCTTAGAAGTGTGTTTTCATTTAGAAATAGCTTGGGATTTTCTTCCTATAAGAAAAAGTAAACGTCAAAAGACGTGGGCTGTGTCACACTTGTGTTTTCGAAAATGTAGTTTTGTAGTCAAAATTCAGGAAGGTTTTTGGTGACTCTTGCGTTCAGCTTTTGCAAGACATATTTGCAAGTGTGTGTTTATATTTGCATTACTCTAACAACTGCAACTTTTGAAATGCTCTGTGTGTAAAATGCATCCTGTAGTTAATGGGAGGGTTAAGATGCAAGTGTGAGCATCTGCTCTCAGATGTGATTTTTTTGATTAGGGCTAAGGCCATGACACAGTAAAGTCTGAGGTTATGTGCTTAATTTAAGTGTACAGTAAACATCAGCTCTGAAACAGGTATCTTGTTTTTGCTTGTGAGCATCACAGAAACACTGAGGTTGAAAGGAAGCTCTGGAGGTCCTCTAGCAGAGTCAGCTGGAGCAGGTTGCTCAAGACCACAACCAGTTGGGTTTTGAATATCTCCAAGCACGGAGACTACGCAGCCTCTCAGGCGGCCAGTTCCAGTGTTTGACCACTCTCACTGTTACTGAGGTTTTTTTCATTGCATTTAGGTGAAATGTCCTGTATTTCAACTTGTACCCATTGCCTCTCATCCTGTCAGTGTGTGTCACTCAGAGTCCGGCTACACCTTCTTTAGTCCTCCTCCATCAGGTATTTGTACACACTGGCAAGATTCCCCTCCGAGCCTTCTTTTCTCCAGGCTAACCAGTCCCAGCTCCCTCAGTCTCTCCTCATGTGAGAGACGCTTCAAGCTCTTAATCACCTTTACAGCTCTTCACTGGACTAACTCCAGTATGTCCATGCCATTCATGTACTGGGGACCCAGCGCTCCAGGTGTACCTCACCAGTGCTGACCAGAGGGGAAGGATCACCCCCCTCCACCTTTTGGCAATGCTCTGCCTAATCTAACATACGAGGCTGTTGGCCGCCTTTGCTGCAAGGGTGCAGTGCTGGCCCAGGGTCACCTTCATGTCCACGAGGACCGCCAGGTCCTTTTCTGCAGAGTTGCTCTCTACCTGGTGAGCCCGCAATGTGTCCTGGTGCACGGGGTGAATCCTTTCCCGGTGCGAGACTTTGCACTCTCTTTTCTTAAGTTCATGAGGTTCTTGTTAGCCCATTTCCTCAGCCTGTTGAGGTCTCTCTGAATGGCAGCACAATCACACGGACTATCAACCACTCCTCCCAGTTCTGCATCTTCTGCCAACTTGCTGAGTGAGGGTGCATCCTGTCTCATCATCCAGGTCGCTAATGAAGGTCAAACAAGGTCGGCCCCAGGACTGACCCTGGTGTGCACCATTAGTCAGGGGCCTCCCACTGGACTTTGTCCTGCTGATCACAACCCTTTGAGCCCAGCAGTTCTGCAAGTTTTTGGTCCGCCTCACAAGCAGATTATCTGGTTCATCCTTCTTCAGTTTGTCTACAAGGAATATGGGAAACAGTATCAAAAGCCTTTCTGAAATTGAGATAAAGCATCCACTGTATCAGTCATCTAATCACAGGAGGAAATCTGGTTTTGTTCTTGACTTCCTGCAAAAAAGAAATCTCAGAATTTGTGGACATAATTCAAGGTATGCTGAGGTGGAACAGAGTCTGGGTTAAAAGTTTTGAGATGAGTTAACTGCCCTCTTTGTCTCAGGGAGGAGTTAAACCTACTCACAAAACTAATTTATTTCAGTTTTATTTTGATCATCCCATAAGAAAGTAGAAGGAGGATCACAAATAGGGACAATCGCTGAAAGTACAAGTCAGTGGCATTTAGGAACTGCCCCATATGGATTGCACTAACAGGAAAAAAATTACTTTCATGTACTTGGGACTGGTTTTGTTTACAGTTTCTAAAACCTTGCTGAAATGTGATGCAGATCAGTGCCCGATTTCCTTCTTAGTGTAGTACTTTTATGATAAGAGTCTGTTTTGAGTTTTACTTGAGATGAAGACATACTTTCATGTATTTCAGCCTGATTTGGATTATATTTATTGGTTTTGTCCAGATTTGGTTAATGTTTATTTTTCTTCTGAAAGGTGTTATTTTTGCTTTATGAAATGTGACGCACTGAAGAGTTTTTACTGAATACTGTGAGTTACAGGTCAAGAGTATTTCAACTTCAGAATTAAAATCAGCATTATTTCTACCTGTCACTCATGCTGCTCTTTTTCCTAAATAAAGACATTCTGAACAATATTCCTGAAAGTCAGATGAGACAAACTTTCTTTCTTGGTAGCTGATCTTACGGGGAATACTTCCCACAACTGTCTGTTTGTTTGGTTTTTTTCTGACCTTCCTATTAACTAAATGTTTCTTTTCAAGGGTAGAGACTTCCATATCAGGATACTGTTACCGACGGATTTTCAACTGAAGAATGCAAGGTAAGAGAGTTTTATGAAAGCAATTTGTAAGTTTATGTAGCAAACCTTTATTTTGATGAAAGCAATGATGGATATGCATATGAATTATTCTTTTTTCCAATATCAGTGTTGGTAATTAATTCTTACTGGTTTCAGTTTAACCTTGCATCAAAATTGTACAGCATCGGTGTTAATAAACGCTGACAATAAGCATTGCCTATATCAAAATATTTTGTTGTTAATTAACTTTGAAACTTGTTGTAATTAATTGGTTATATTTATATGTAAATCAATGTACTTGGAAAAAATGTTCATTTAAATCAAATTATTTATATGTCACCATTTGGGTAACAAAATTCAGTGCAAAGTTGTAAATTTAAGCAATTATGTGCTTGATGGTTAGCATAGCTTTTTTTAACTTCATTTTCTCTTTCCTGTTAATACGTTTTAATTTGCGTTACCCAGCTTTTCTTTAAAAGCTCTGTTGTTATTACTGCGAGTGTTTATCATAGTAATACGTGGGAGTGTGTGCGTACTGTGTGTATGCACCCATACATGGATTAGTCTTTAACGTTGTATTCCATAGTGCTGCCTAGGCCAGCCTGCTGTGAACAGGTGTGGTACTCCATCGCTTTGTTACATTCTAGGTCAGATACTTAAAACTGCATTATATGTAACTTTGACATTTTCAGGATATCATTTTAAAATATTGGTATGTTTTATGAAGTCATGCTAGCTTGCGAGAATTATGTTGTTGTTTTCGGCAAAGAACAGGCTTTTGTAGGTAAATGCTTAATTTTTAATGAGCTTTGGGATAGTGACATTTGAAAGTTAAATAACTGAATATGAAATTCAAAGAAATGTTGAAGTATTGTTTACTTCCTTTGTTTTTTTTGAAGAAAAACTTTTATGTTGTTGTGTAGCAGACTTTCTGATCTCTTCTGAAAATCATGTACTGTGAATTTAAAGTTTATACAAAATACTGATTGTTTAGGATAGAGTGTAGCTGGCACCTAAAGAAGATACTGCACGGATATCGGCATATTTTAAAGCAGGTATACAACTTTTTAAACCATTTCTGTTAAATGTATACTTACAGTAATTCTGAAAAGCTTATACTCACATACCTGTTCTAAAAGTGTTTAAGAACTCTTCTTTCATTGTATAGCTAAGATTTATTTTGAAATGCTTGAGGATTTACAGGTCAATCTAAAGAGAGATGGATAGAATTTAGTAAGTATTTGTTTTTACTCAAGCTTTATTTTTTTGAAGATTGAGATAGAATGATTTTTAATAAACGGCTGCTGATATTTTACTAGAATTTTGCTTTAATCTCTCAATTACAAACAGATTTTGGTTTTCCTTGTTTATATATTTATTTTTCACAAACTGTTCATAATGCAGAGGAGAGGATTCACATTAATTATTGATAGATCTAGCTCATTCTGTGTGGTAGACAGTCAAGAAATGTAAGTTAAACCTGCCTATCCAGAGAAGCTTTGGAGCAAGAATAGAACAGTCCTGCAGTCAGGAAGAACGTTTTGTCTCTAAGGCAGCCTGTTTGTCACTTGTGCTAGTTGAGACACTGTGTCTCACAGACTGTGCACCCTGTTGTAGAACAAGGGTTGTGAGTTGGGAGTAACCAAAGATACAGAGCTGAGGAAACGGAAGTGTGAATGTGTACCCCATCTGAAGATGGGCAGGGATTCTTAATCATGTACAGCATCTAAAAGCAGATGGGTCGGGAGAGTTCCTAAAGAAAATATAACCAACTAAGAAATGTGTTTGAGACATTCTAAAGTCTTCACCAATGAGAACAGAAGCTAAAGTTTTCATAAATTTTTTCATAAATTTCTTCATAAATAGATAAAGTGTAAAGTCTTCATAAACTATATAAATGTGTAATGTGACATGATGTGACAAAGGTGATGGTTAATTTTCAGTAAAGTTTCCTGTACTCTGGAAGATTTGTTCTGTAATTGAAACATTTAAATGTGTGGTAATTCTAAAGCTTCTGTTCTCATTGGTGAAGACTAAAGTTTTCATAAATGTTTTCATAAATTTCTTCATAAATAGATAAAGTGTAAAGTCTTCATAAACTATATAAATGTGTAATGTGACATGATGTGACAAAGGTGATGGTTAATTTTCAGTAAAGTTTCCTGTACTCTGGAAGATTTGTTCTGTAATTGAAACATTTAAATGTGTGGTATGTGGTTGGGGGTTTTTATGCTAGTTGGATTGACAGTACTAGAAAAATAGATAGTTAGACTGAAATTGTTTTCTTCAACTCATAACTTTTAGTGGTAAACAAACTGATACTGTGTTCCCTCCAGAGGTTGCACAGCTGTCCAGATCTTGTCAGTTTTATGGTGGAGCTGAAAACTATTTTGGTAAGTGACAGACTGTGTATGTGGGAGATTGGATGTTCTTACAGCTTTGCCTTTCACTTTCAGTTTTTTACAGTTTACTGTTTGATAGATGGATTTATGGGTTTGGGTGTGGGTTGTTTTTTTTTTTCAAGAAGAGGTGATTTTGTATGTATGCTGTTCATGTAATGTTTGTATACGTATCCTTTAGGATTTTAAGTGACTGTATGTTTTGGAAATTGGAGTATTATAGAAAAATTAAAATCCCAGCAAGGGATCTTACTATAGAGCTATCCTCTTTACAATGATTTTCCTGGAATTCCTGGTATTGTCCAGATGGTAAAGAAGGCTTGTAATCACACAAAGGATTATACAGTCAGTGGATTGCTGAAGGTGCCTTCACCTGTGTGACAACTTGATCAATATATCGAGAAAGCTTTTTTTTTAATAGGTCAGAGCCTGCTGCTTATTCTTTTTACAAAAGTTTTTTTTAATCTGGGATTAAAGAGTAGCAAAGTCTTTAGTTAACAACATGAAACTGACAATTTCTTGTCTGCTAGTAAAACATTATTCTATGAGCATTCTTGGCAAAGAATACTTGCATACAGCCTACTTGACTTAGAAATAAAACACAGTGAGTATTCTTTGAAACAACAAAAATACTCTCCTGGTATTACCCTATTGCTCTGTGCCTTTCCTCAGTATTGGTTCAATCCCTGCCAAACTAGATTACACTAAACCAGGCAAAGACGTGTGGAATAGGACGGAATAAAAATGTCTACATGTGACTATTTTGGAATATTTCACAGTAGTTATTCCAATCTATTTGCCTGGATACAGAGGCATGCAGAAAATGAGAACGCAATGAAAGTATAATTCATTCAAAATAGTAAAATAGTGATCCTCAGTGCAGATAGTAAAAACAACAGAAGACACTGTGGGAGAAATGGGCAGAAATTATTGTCATACTGATTTTATTATTAATTCTATTTACTAGTTTGTATAATTTTATTATAAATTATTAATAATTTTATTATAAATTTCATTATTTATTTGTCCTGTAAGCATAATTGTAATTTAAGTACACTTTTAAAGAACAAGTAGCACAACATGAATGTTGAACATATGGTTTGGTTTGGTTTTTCTCTGTAACGTGGTATTACCTTTTTGATAAGAATTTTTTTTTGAGGCCTAACAACATACTTGGTGAGTGTCTGTACCAGGACTTAGTCTCTGGGATCCTATGATGTTAAAATTGAGAAACTGATATTTTTTTTTTATTGCTATATAAAGTTGTATATAGCTACTTAAAAATAATATGGAGGATTTCATATATGTGTCATCTTTGGTGGCTGTGGAGCCCAGGAGACAGCTGTGGGCTTAATAGAACCTTCTTTTGAAATGTTCTTTCAGTCAAGATGCTTGACTTCAAATTTATTAGCTGAAAAAGAGGCACATTTGATATTTGCATCTGAAGACTATGTTGTCAACATCTGTGGGTTTTTTTAAATTGCAGATGTTTTCATTACCAGTATCTGAAGTAATTTTACCAAACAGCTTCTTTGTCTGCTTTAGCTGGAGGCTATAACAAAACAAATGCAGTGTACAGTTAATTTTACATAAGCTTAATATTTTTGAATGAATTGCAAAAATCACATGACTAAATAGATGCAGAAATATTGAAATCTCTCTTAATGATGTTTTTAATGTTCTTTTAAACAGGAAATTGCTTTAAAGAATACGCAAGACCTGCATATACCACGGCCGCCAGAATACTACTCAGGTCTTGTCAGAGATCTAGAAATATTGGGTTGGAATACGTATGTTTATCTTATTTCTTAACAGACATTATCTTTAGAATATCTGCCCTTCTTTTGTATTTATAAGTTGAACATATCAAATGTACTTGTTCTGTTAATTTATCCTGTTCGGAAACTGGTTTTGCTTTAAAAACTCCGCTGCTTTGCTATTAATTTCAAAAAACCCAACAAACCTGTATCAACTGAAGGTATATTTTCAGTCTCAAATAACTGAGCTGAAAGGTGAGATTCTATTACTAAGAAATCAATTCTTCTTTGACCTATAAACTATTGGCATAGTAAACATTTGATACAACTTTTACAGTTCTCCTTTTTCTTCCTTTTTTTTCCCCTACTTTGTACAGCTTTTTTTGACTATTCCAGTATGCTGTAGTTGATCATCATGTACCTTTATGCTTTCATAAAAACAGTTCATACATTTTTTAGAACTAGAATAATTGTTTTTAAGGAACAGTTCTATCTTGCTCTCCACAGCACAAGGATCTCCTTAGACAAAGGAATAACATAGTTACGTGACAAAAAGGTAAATCTACAAAAAAAAAGTGAGTGGAGGGGAGAAATTGGAAAACTATGAATCCAGAACTTCAAAAGAGCCAGCTCTTTGCGACACCCACAGAGAGAAACGTATATATTTTTTTGCTACCCAGGTGGGTTCAAACAGAGATGAGGGCTATTGAAAATCATTCCTTTGTCTCCAAAAACTTGCAAGCAGACCATTTTTAGGGGAGCAAGGGGGCATTTCCAAGTGGGAAAAATGTTGGTTACTGCAAAAGGAGAGTATAAACTGTGTCACCTGAGGATAGAGGCTCAGTGCACCCAAGAACATGGTTTCATGTATTAGCTCTACTATAAATTGAGTATCTGTGGAACAAGAAGTGACAATTCAGGTTGTATTCTGGGGGAAGGAGAACTAAAGTGAATCTTTTCACCCAACACAAATGGTTGGTTTAATACCATGGGAAAGAATGTCACATTAGGAAAGGATATTTGGTTTTGTTGAGGAATGAAATGTACACGTAGCTGCCTCTGGGTGCCTTCTCATTAGGGTCTTGAATGAGTGCAAACAGATTATATTATTCACAGTCCCATATACTCTCAGATGAGCTCACAGAACAAATTTAATTTCATCCTCCTACAGAGGAAAACAAGGTTGCTCTCCTACCTACCTCCTAGAGAAGAAACACACAGTTGTGATCAAGTATGCAAGGTCCATGTGGAAATTTTTCAGAAATCTGCAAAGCTTTCTGTTTTGCAGACTTGAAAGGCTTTAACTGCCATCACATGTGCCACCGCTGGCAAGTTCTCTGATACTGAACCTTTTATTCCTCTGGCAGAGAGCCTGGAATGGTCTGATTTCTATCCTTTCCCCTAGAACCTCCAGGAGACTTTATGGAGTTGAAGAAAGTAGTTGTTTCTGTGTAGGGAGGCATTAAGGAGATATATTTGAAGGCTGTCTTTAATAATATGCAATTAATCTCACAGTGCCTTCTTTCAAGGGGTTAAGGTGCAAGATTTTGTAGGATGTTGAATGGGTTTTGAACGAGAAGCTACTTTTTAGTTTCAGTACATTGAAAGTTAAAAAAGTTTTCAACAAGACAAATCTACTTTTACCTTCATTTTGGATGGTAAGTTAACTTTAACAAATGTTTATTTTGCTAAATGAAATAAAGAAGCCTTGGGTTTAAGAATAATTTTGAGTTTTCTTACCTGATTTGTGTATAAATAAATAACATGTGATTAACATTAAGTAGGAATTTGCTTTGAAGGCCCACTTTTATTTAAAGATTTAAAACATCCTTGTTAAATCAGCTGAAGTTTTTTCAGTGATTTCCATTATTAAGTATGAAGTTGTGCCAGGTGATGACATACTGTATTCAAATTTCTCACTCAGGTCTGAGAATATTAGTTAAAATTTCCTAAACACATAGGAAATAAATTTTGAATCATGCTTACTCTCCCAAAATGAAAGAAAAACACCCCAAAACCTTCAAAAAGCCCATGCCAGCAAAACAGACACTGACATATGTTAAATATACTTTAAAGATATGAGTATATAAAATGTACTATACTTATAATCTGATATTTAAATATAATATATAGCTAAACATAGTAAAAATAGACTTTGAAAATACAATTTAGGAGCTTATCTCAAAAGTGGTATTTCTTCTGACTTGCTGTGCATACAGGACATCCAGTGGTTTATTAAAAAGCACATCAGTGTTTTATCGGAGAGCATGCTTCTAGGGTGGAATTGGACCTGTTTTCTAGGCAAAGATGGTCTTCATGTAGACACACAACTTATGCTGTGCTTTTGTCCAGTGTATTCATGTAATTCAGTAAACATGCACCTCTTGATTTGACTTCTGTTACAGATAAGGTCTCTATTTAATTGAGTTTTTTTGGTTGGGGAAGCCAATCATTAATCAAAAGGCTAGGCTGTACATAGGGGATCATATCTGTTTTACTATGAGTTGGAAGGAGAATAACCCAGAGAGGTGATTTGAAGTACATTAGTAAGTTACACCTCTAATTTTAGTGTGCTTTTAACAACATAATGAACTACTAAGAAGGCTTCTTAACCTAGACTGTTTTTGAGTTGCAGGTGATGTGTATTTACAGGTTAGTTAAAACCATTCTGGAATGGTCTTTCAGCACAAAACTAAGCCTGCATTTAGTACTGGCAATAAGATCAATCATGACTCTCACCTTGAGAAGCCTCCAGCTTTATTTATCAGGAGTTATCTTGGGAAAGAACTGGCTTGTTGTAGACCCTAGATTTACTTTTTCCTAGTGAGTTTTGGGTCATGCTGGAAGCTGACTGCCTACAAATCCAACGGAAAAACCGAAGGATATTTTGTTTGAAAGAGAATCAAAGCAATAGGCTATGGTTCCTTTACCTCTGAGGTGAGTTAAGAAGCTCTCGGGTATGGCACAAATTGAGTGTCTTCTAGTGGTTTTTATCTAAGCAGAATGTGAAGTTTCTCGGAAACAAATTGAAGGCATTATCTGCAATGATCTTACACCTCTTTCCTCCTAAACCACTGAAAGTAGAAACAGTAATGAGGATTGCAAATGAGCGGCCTGCTGTGATACAGAAAACTTGATTCTTTGACCAAATTTAGGTGTGGAGGAGGGTGAATATGCTTTCATATTCAAATACTTGTACACAAAAGTCACAGTTCAACAGGTTATAAAATTGTACCGAATTTCCAACACTAGAGCGTGGAAAAATACCAGCACAAACCTCATCAGCTGAGGTGGGAGAGAGTACACATGTAGTAGTATTAAGCTATAGGAAAGGCTCTTCTAATACTCGCACATTATCTTGCTAGTTGATTCAATGACAATGTTTTGGGAAGGTAAATTATTCACTGTAAAACATTTCTAGGATTCTTATTACCTTCATGTGGATTCATAAAGGTTGCTAGTATCTCTGAAGTCCATGGTGTGAGTCATGATCTCTCAAGTCTCAATGCATTTCTGCTTGATACTTGCCAAGTTTTTTTTCAGAAAGTCTCTTCTCCTCTTGCCTTCTCCATTTCCAAGGGCATCCTGCCTAGGTCGTGTGCTCTCAATCATTTGTGTGTTATGCTGAATTACAGTACTTCAGAGATTTAACTGAGGCTTTCCATCTTTATGGTCATTCCATTTTTTTTCTATGTGATAAAATGATGGAGCCTACAGAGAAATAAAGGTTTAGACAACTGAAATATCACCTATGTAAACAATTCCTTATTTGATCATACAATCATATGAAGAAGTTCATATGACTTTTACAGCATTGTCCAGCTTTCTCCGGTCCTATGGAACTGACCCTTTCATCTCATCTTATCCAAAGAACAATAGAGTGATGTTACAGAACAGGTAGCCACAAAGCTACTGAGTTCCTTTTTTCTGTCCTAAATAGAAAATGAATCCTCCTTCATTCCCCCAAGGCAGTTTACTGTTTTTACATTCTATTGAGAAGGAGGAAGTCTGGCTGTGAATTTTCATTCTGGGCATTCTTCAACCCTGTATGTCCCTTGTCTGAGGAGTTTTTTATTCCTTGGTGTTCCTGTTTGTGAAAAAATTTGAAAGGCAAGAGAGTGTTTTACTAGAAAACGTCTAAGTACGTGGTTTGTAATGAATAATACTTAAAAGGTGGTGTGTTGCTCAGCTTGAATAGTTGTCTTCTACTAGCAGCTAGTTGTTGAAGTCAAAATTAAATGGAAGTTGTAAGAATTTCCAGATTGGTCTGGATTGTAGTGGTGCTTCACCGCAGTAATAATTACATTTTTTACGTTTTGTTTTTTTTTTTCCTGTTATTTCCAAGCTCAGTGAAAACTACATTTTAAACTGGTTTAAAAATATACTTTAAATACAAATTCTAAAACTAAAAAATGTTAAAAATTGAATAACAGAACTTGAAAATCATTTTATGATATAACCTTCTATACATAATTAAACAGGTAGCCATTGTTGGTGCTCTTAGCACCTTTTCCAAATGCTTACTTTTTTAAGTTTGTCTAATTTACACTGACAATAAAACTGAGTGTGAAGGTTCTTTACAAATATGATTGAACATAGTTGTATTGTTGCTATAGTTTTAATATGTTAGTGTGCATGTATCTGTATTTTAAATATATAAATAGTTGCACACATGCATATATGTTTATTTCGGAGGCTGTCAGGTTGTTAAACTACTTGTAAAAGTAATGAACCCTTAACGATTTCAGAAATAAATTTTATGATATGTATGTCCATTACTATCGAAGAAAGAAAAATAATTTTTTAATCTTGTTCCCTCCCACCCAATGTAGAGTAAGGAACTGCAAAAATGTTTGATTTTAAACTAAAATAATCCATACTTTTCTGGCACCTCAAGAGTGAAGCAGTCCAAACAAGATGAGTGTCAGAACAGATAATTTTAAATCCTAAACACCTTGACAGCATCCCTTTAATTTTTCTCTTCTCTTTTGCTATCTGACCTCACAGTGCATTGATGCAGGCACCAGTTGCACCTTGTTTTGGACACTGCTAGATGTTTTATTGCAGTTACCATTTCT